CTTTTTACCCTGCCTTTATTCTAATTTAGGCCTTCATTTGGGCCATCCTTGTCCCTGCAGAGACACTGAGACCCCTGCAATCATCTGGATCCTGGCACTGGCCCACCATGCAAATTCTCCTCACAGTCTATCATTATGTACCTCAACCCTGGGGCAAGGAGAACAGCACGTTACATTAAGTCAATGTAATGCTCTACGCATAGGAGAGTGTTGCAGGTGAGGTCTGTATACTACTGAAGTGGGGATGCTACCCTGAGTTTCCTGAGATGCCTACTGGCCCAGTTCGGCTCTTATCATTGCCCCCATCTCTTTCAGTATGAGTCATTTCCCTCAGCTCACTTGGTTCCTAACAAAGCAAAGTCATTACTCTCCAAGTTCCAGGTCCACTTCCAGTATGAGGTTACATCTCTCGGAACACTGACGAAGAACAAAAGAGAACTGTAAGATCCCCACCTTCTCTCACTGGAGTAATGTTCTCCTAAGAACAGGTTGCTGCCTTCTTAACCTGGAAGGTTTTACACTTTGGTGCATTCTGAGAATTCTTCCAGCTCTGCACCAGGCAGAGGTCGGAAGGAGTGCAGGGATATATTTCACTCCAAAGAAAAAAGAAAGCATGCAGGAAACCTCCCCAAGGTCTGGTGGCCTTGGAGCCTATTGGGTGGTTGCAAGTATGCAAAATATTCATGCAAATATTCAATGATCTACAAGTCTTGTCACTTTTTTTTGAGTGACTCAGTAAACAGCAGGGGAACAACAGAAGAAGTACCAAATGAATCACAAGTATATTTTCAAGTCAATGTAAGAATGGAGCCAGGTATCAGTGGCTCTCACCTGTAATCCTAGCTACCTGGAAGGCTAAGATCCGGAAATTCGAGGTTCAAGGACAGCTGGAGAAAATAGCTGGAAAGACCCCAATCTCTAAAAATAACCACAGCAAAATGGACTGGAGGTATAGGTCAAGTGGTAGAGCACCTGCTTTGCAAGCATGAAGCCCTGAATTCAAACTTCAGTCCTATCAAAAAAAAAAATGCTATATGAACACCTATACAGATTATCTCTTCTCTCTTCTGCATTCTTAACCTCTGACTCTTGTCAGCTAAATTTCTCAGTCTATTAACTTGCCACATCATCACTAAAAATCCCTGTCTTGACCCCCCCCATGTCTTTTTCTAGCTCTTTTCTTCTTGCCAAACCTCCTCCATGGGTACTGGTGCCTCCAACTCATCTCCTCTCAAACACTCACAGCTCATTGTAACCTGGCTCTGCCTGCAGAGCTTCAATGAAATTGCTGCCTTCAGATCACCAGTGACAACTCCATGGAAAATCCAAAGGGCAATTACTACTCCTTAACTTACTAGATCGTTCTACTACATGTGAGGCTATAAATCACGCATTTTTATTTTGAAACTCTCAATCATTCCCCCAATTCTCCTCCTAATTCCCAATCACTGATTCTCAATCTCCTTCATGGGTTCCTCTTCCTCTCCTCATCTCTTAACCTGTCTTCCCAGCTTATGCTCTCCTTATTCTACCTCCCCTCCCTGAGTAATCTCACTTAAAGACACATTTCTCATTAATATTTATATGGAAATGACTCCCAGTCTACTCTCTCTAGCTCTCACCTCTCCCCCCCGTGGGTTTATCCAACTACACCCTAGACATGAACCCAGGTTGGTTCCAAAGTCCCTCAAATCTATTATGTCTATTCTGATTTCACTTTACCTTTACCCGTTTATTCCCTTGTACTGCCTGCTTTAGCCAGATACCACCTTGCATCCTGCAGTCCAATCAAGGCACCTCTTTTGGCTTTAACTCTTTTTTCTGCCTTGTCATCCACATCAAACCAATCCTAGTGATTTTTACTAAATGAAGATTTCTTGAAAGTATTCCCTCTCCATGACTCTTAGTACTTCATGAGACAAGACGTCTGTTTATTACTCCCTAGGTTTACAACCTAGGGTGTAATGGCCAAGCACTTGAGCATGAAATATCAGATCGTCCATGAGTTTATTACCAAAGAAAAACCTAAATAAATCCTCTAGCTTTACCTGCTCTTTGTTGACTTAAAAATCACTAATTGAGGAGGAGCTAGTCTACACATTCTTAGTTTCCCACTAACTTTGCTGGACGGTGAGTTATAACAACAATGGTTGCCTAGGTCACTTTTCAAGGAACATGAAGACCACTTTTGCTGAAAATACTACCTCTTCACTTGAGCCTGCAGATGTCTGACAGGATGACTGGAACAACATGTTCCATGTTGTTATCTCTATTTCATCATGGCTTGCCATCTCTACCTTCATATTTTGTCTGTCTCCTTTCCTGCCTTATCCTCTGGGTTAGATTCTACTCAGCTCTGCATGCAGACATGTTGATCAATGAGAAATGTTTTGACCAGAACTGTAATATAGGGTTAACTTGACCAAAACTTGCATAGTCTCTTCTCCCTTCAAGACTAAAGACACCGACCACTGTGACCAGAAATACCAACCATGAAAGGAGCAAAAAAGAGGTAGCATCCAGTTCCTGGAATATTCTTCCCCTTTATTAGCCACTCTCCCTCTCCCTCATTATTCCTATTTTATATCCATAACCCCTCAACTCCTTGGAGTTGAGTCTTATTTGTGAGCAAAGCTCTCTCTTCTCCATTCTTTAGCCACTGACTAAAATTTTTTTGTCCCCAACACTTGTCCCCTGGACAATTCTTTTTCCATTGGATGAGGTTCTGGACTGGTCCATAATAAGATGAGCTGTCCCTCATTCAGCAGGCTTAGCTCTGCTGAATCAGCTCTTGTTATTAACAACGAAGTTCAACAAAAGGCTGATGTTACCATCACATGCCACCTTCCTGCCTCCTTCGCACCCAGTGTCTCACATACCTAGAATGTCCTTCGCTGTCTTCCCCTTCTCCCTCCCATTCCCCTACACTTGTCTTCCTGACTAGCCCCTGTCCTCCAAGATTTGGCTCAAGTGTCACCTTTTCCCAGATGCCCTTTCACAATCCTCCAGCCTAAAGAGTTGCCCCTCAGTACAACTGTTAGCTGCTAGGCAAGAACTTTTTGGTATTTACAAAGGAAGAAGCTATTGACCCTTAAAATGACTCCTAACATCCCTTCAAGATGTCTTTTGCTGTTATTGTTTCACTTAAGGCCCTCCAGAGGAAAACCACAAAGAACTGGTTTAAGCCAGCCAAAATGCTGAGTCATGCTTCCAGATGACCTTAAGTAAACTTTGCCTATTATAATATCATTATAATGCTAAATTCTCTGCAGAGGGGTGTTTGTATTTGCAATTTATGCAGAACCATGATCTCAAACTGAGCATGCTCAAGAATGTGCCCACTTCTATTGTGAGGACAAATCTGATGACTTTCCAACATGAGTATGGATGAGTTTTACCAACAAGATCCCCTTGCCCCTGGTGTTCAAAGGGACACTGCTGTGGGGTTATCTCTAAGTGCCCCTCTTACTTGCTGCAAGTAGTAAACCTTTCTTCCCTCTTTTATCTCCTGGTGGTGCTTACTGACTGTTGCACTCACCAAGGGGCAAGCCCAATGTGTCCGATTACACTACCGGAACATTCCATGTTAACATCTAGCATGACACATTTCACATTCTTCTAAAGTAGTATTTACATATTAACCTTCCCCAATTGGACTCTAAATTTTTCAAGGCAGGGACTATTCACTTAATTCTTTTATATGTTAAATGTGATAATTTCTGGCATGTTTCTACAACTCTAAGTACCCTGGACATTCCATATGATCCTTTCTCAGTCATTTACTATTTGATTCAGAGGCTCTGTGGTGGCCATGATATTTTAATATTCAGCATACATAGCAATGTTGGTTGCTATCACCATGCTGGTCCTAGAATAACGGTCTTTACTACAGTACAGAATACAAGACTAAAATTAACTATATCTTGCTACTCAACATAATCTCTGATTTGGCAAAACAATCTCTTAAACAGGCATACTGCTGACACAGCATGGCCAAACAGAACTCAACCAAAGAGAAAAACCTGAAATATCTTTAACACAGAAATTCTGAGTTCTGCTGACTCATTCTGACTTAAAGCTGCAATAATACTTGAGTAAGAAGCACCCAAGCTGACTCTGCATTTTTTTTCTGCAGAGCTCACAGAATTTGGCATATGAGAAATTTAATAGTTGCTCTATATAGTCCTTTGCAGTTCTTCAGATATTGGCTGCGGTCACCTACACTATAGTGTCTGATAGCATTAAGTGGTATTTTTTTCTTGCAAAGATGCAGTCCTGGTCAAAATACTGATGACAGCTGAAAATACTATCTAAAGTCCTCTGTAACTAAAGAAAACCATACAGGAAATCTCTTTCACCAAAGGAAGTCTCAATGCTAGCTCTTCTTGGGCTCTTCGCCCTGATTAAAGCAACATCTCTTTTTCACACTTTGTACAAAAACATCTGTACAGCTGAAGAAAATCATTTAAATACCAACATAAACACATGCACAGAGACAATGAGTAAATTTTCATCAGTACTAAACTTCTAAGAATCCATATTAGAGCAAATTATGAAGCAAAGAACCTTCTCAAAAAATCCTTCTTCCTACAAGAAGTCATGAGAACTTCACTATAAAAGGTAAAATGGAAGAAATCTTTAGACCAATTCTAATTATACTTCAATCAGTAATTTGTCATGCTTCTTATATATATAGTGATGATTATAGTTAACATTTAATTACCTACCATTACTTCAAATATTTATTCCATTTAATATCACAATATGTATGTTCTATAGTTGAGATATTTAGTATGTTAAATGTCTTCTTTCAGGAAAAGGAAATAAAGGCAGAATTCACTATTCGGACTTTCATATTTTTCTTTAAGTGCTCTATGACATATAATCAGCTAGAAAATAACAGTTGCTTCAATAATAGCCATTATTTTGACTAAAGCAGTTTCTCAGAAGTGAAGTTTTACTGTACCTGATTCTCAAGAGGATTATGACTGTATACTTACTTGTTCAGTATGAGGTCAAGAATGAATTTGGAACCAAAGGCTTCAATCTGGAAGCTTGCCTGGGCCAGGTGAACAGCCTATAGATGCAAAAAGACAGAAGGAATCTTAACTTACTTTCTTATCTCCAAAACTGATTATATTCTTATCAGGAATAGATTTGGTATGGTGGTTCATGCCTGTAATTCCAGCTATACAAGAAGCAGAGATAGAAGAATCACAGTTTTAGGCTGGCTGGGCAGAAGGCATGAGACCCTATCTGAAAAATAAGGGGAAAATGGGCTGAGGCATGGCTCAAGTGGTACAGTGCATACCTAGCAAGTATAAGACCCTGAGTTCAAACCCAGTACCACCAAAAAAATTTAAAAATTAAGAAAAGTTATTTAACAGGCTCATCATTTTTATGTATCAATCTGCTCCTTTATATACCTTTATGTATAAATCTATTTCTTTAAAAGACTAAGTGTGCTGTCATGGCTTTGCTGGGAAGATCTAGACACTGGAGCGGCAAAAAAACTAATAAAAGACAACCAATACTTTGAAATGAATCCTTTAAGGTAAAAATCAAAAGCACAGTCTGCTGGACTTCCAAAGTGACTATGATAAAATACATAAAACTCTTAACTAAATAAGCTTGACTTCAGCCTATTTTACGCACAAAGCTAGCCAATTTTTCTGTACACCTAAATGAAAATCATGTCAACAATCTGCTCTTCAGCAGGAATTGCAACTTTTTCTGGAACTTTGTCCAAATGACGTGCCGGCAGAATGTGACAGTAAAGTGGAAGGACACAGCCTCCTCTGACCTCCAAAAGCCCTTTGGCATCAGTGAGAGTTTATGCTCCTCTTTAAAAGTCACACATCTACAAATACTGTCATTATGATGCCTTAATTGGAAACACAAGGATAATTCTATCTAAGCCAGAATCATATTTACAGGTGTTCAAGATTAGTATAGCTCAAACAAGCATTTTGAATAATGTACATTAGCAAATCAAAGAAGTTTTGCCAAAGTAGTATCCAAGATAAAACTTTCCTTTGTCATCCTATCAGAGGGGGAATAAAAGACAAGAATAAATGCAATATCTACACCCCTTGACTCACAAATGTCCTTGCTTCAACTTGCTTTAAGACAATGAAAGTTCCACATGATCTGCACAGTAACTGGACACCAACATGAACACACCAGGCATCCCCCTCACAGTACTTTCTAGTCCCACCTCCCCTCATTTCCACTCCTTACTCCTCTTTGCCTTCCCCTCCATTTTTAATTATGCCTTCCTTCAAAGGCATCACAACTGCATTATCTTCCTTGAAGGCCTCCTTCACATACACTCTGGGAATGAACTCTTGCTCCTCCGAGCCTTAGTTTTTTACTGGTTCCTCTGTCTAGTGGAATGTGCTTGATTCCATCCATCCCTTGGATGGTGAGCTCCACAACACATATCACAGGAATCTTGCAAAGTTTTAGATTTAATGACCTTCCCCAAACTATCTAAACTTTCAAATTATTCACCAAATATGTAACATCAAGATGATTTTACTATGCCAAACCCACAAAGCACTACCAAATCCATAAAACACTTCTACTTCCAGTCAAGCACCACTGTGCTGTCACTCAATAAAATCAATAAATAAAACTTAAAAGGCAATTAACACAATTAAATTTTAAATATAAAACAATGAGAGGATCCTGAATCCCTTACACATGGGATGCCAGGCCAAATTCAAACCACCATGCGGAACAAGGTCACCATTTTTGTCCTGGGTTACTGAATCCAGACACCTGCATGAAAGAGAAAGAAGAACCTATCTTGTCAAGAGTGGTCTTGCCATCTGCAGCAGAACCTCTATCTATCCATGACAAATATCACACAGTCTTTAATGTAAATTCATTTCACATCTTGAAGTATTAATTTTTATACAGATACTTCTATGGATGGATAATTTGTATAAGGCAAGGTTTTTCAGCTTTGGATCCTAAAATCTTTCCTATTCATTCCTCTATTACTCTTCCTATACTAAAACCTATGCCTCAGAAGGGCTTCTTCCCAATTATTCTGTTTCTTCTCTCTTGCCCTTGACACAATTAAAATAGCTTTTAACTTTTAGACTCTGTATTATCGCATTTCAACTTATCACTCTTTCTTTAACCAAATGATATAATTTTTATAAAGGTCAATTTATTTTTAATTATTTTTAAATGTGTTTAAATATGTCAATATTTTTAGATATGTTTTTAAATTAAATAAAGTGAGTCTTTACCATTATTGTTTCATAAATTACACTGTTGAGTGAATAGATACACAGGTTGATTTTATATAATGTTAACTCACCTCTTCCAAATGGTAAAATAGTAAAAGAATGGCTGAGATACAAACTAAGTTTTAATAGTATAAAACCAGTGGTTGATCTAATATGACTTTAGGGTTAACAAGCTAACAAGAATTACTGAAAACACAGAGGCTACCAACAGTATTGCTCTTCTTTAATAAAGAAGAAACTGTATGGTGAGGTTTAAAAATATGTTCGGCAACACAAAATCAGATCATAGGAATACTTCAGAGAAGAGTTCATGAACCATACATGAGGTCATAGCTATTTTCTCCTTTAGAATGTCTGCCAAACAGTCTTGTTTTTATAAGGACATTCACTGTAATAGCACTGGGGAAGAGCACAGGGTTTTATAGCCAGAAAGCATCACTTCACAACGAGAATGAGCACATCACTGGGCTCAGAATCACCACCCTGAAGGAATGGGAACAGCTGTTGCCTCAGCACTTTAGTATTTTTCTTTTGACTCAGAATCTGGCCCAGGGAAATTACAGGAGCTCTATAAACAAAAACAATTAAGTTCAATTATATACACAAGTGTCCTTCGCTGAAGAACAATTCACACATCTTCGCAGTGTGCTTTTGTTTTCCTGTTTTTTCCTTCTAGTTGATGGCACCTAATGGTACCATGTTAAGTAACTGTAGAAGCCTGCTTCTTCAGCTGAGGCTTGCTTTGAGTCTTATCATCATGCAATGCTATGAGACTAAATAGCCATATACACTCAACTTCACATAAGGTACAGTACATAAGATGAAGAGACACAGTTACACTTTCTTAAGGCTTATATTCCAGAATAGTTAATACAGACATAAAAACAAGAGAAAAATAACTGTATCTACTTATAAAAATTAAAAGTAGGCATTTTGATCATTGCATGTTTTGTGCAACTATACTTCACACACTATTCCTTACCACTTGGCAAGGATTGTAAATTCTTAGAGGGTGCCTGTTGCTGAAACTGAAAATGGTAAATGGAAAGTCTACTCTTCTCCAGAATTCAAACAGTATCATGAGACTGAATCTCATAATTCAGGAGAAATTCAGCAACCTGGAGATTAGAATATCTACACTATCAAGTACCACTTCCTTTATTTTTGTGTGCTCTACACCATACATGGTTTGGGAAGCAGAAGAAAATTTGAAGTAGTTTTTCTATTCTTAAATATATTCCACTTACTTAGGGAGACATTCAATCACATAATAAAGCAAACGTGTTCAGAATGGCATATCACTAAGGCACAAAAATCCTTTACACATGGAGGGAAGAAGCCCTAAAGGGAATCAAGCAGGACCCAGCAAGTCCAGAAATGATTCTAGCTCTGCTTCCTAAAGAAGGGAGCTGTGGACCTGGGCTTCTAGGAAAGAGAGTGCTGAAGATGGCAAAATGTGACCATTAGAGTTAGAAGTCTGGATTAACTAAACTGTCTTCTCTACTCAAGAAATCATGGGAAAAGTAAGACAACCAAAGAGCTATTATTAATGGGGCTGCAGGCAATCTTCCTGCTTTTTATGTTTCTCCTCACTATGATAACACTGTTTTGTTTTATGTGGTTAATAAAATGTTGAGTGCATGCAAGTTGTGTGTAAACTATAACCTTTTCAGAGCATATTTTCTCTTTATCTTGTACACATATGGCTCTTTCCTTTGCTCATGGTTTTCCCATAGACCCTTCAGGAGTTTTGATTCCATTTCTTCAAATAAAGTGGGAAAAGTTCACAGGATCTCAAACACCACCTTCTTTTGAGATTCAGGACATTTTCTGATGTTTCAGAGAAACAGATTTGGAAATTCACCAACTCACTCAAGAGAACAGAGAAGAATCATCTAGTCAGAGACTAGAAGGAGCGCCTTATAACAGGTTGAGTGGTTGAGGTCAGAAGACACTTCCCTGGGAAGTCTTTGGCCAATTTGGCGGTTCAGTATGTTTTCCTTTTCATATAAAAGCAGGAGATACAGAATCCAGTAACCCAAATAACTAAATATCAATAAACTATCAAGTTTAAGTTGACATAAGTTTAAGGAAAATAAATCACTTTAGATCACAGAGGCTTTTCTATAGCTGACTATCAGGGTTTGTTCTGATGCTGCAGAAGAATAAAAGTCCAGCTTGTGAATCTTTCCTGAATATCATGTAAAAATCAAAATATGTGACTATATCTCAGAAATTTAAAGTCCTAAAGAAAATACCAGTACGGCATTTTTAATTGCCATCTGGTTCTCATCCCTTATTGAAAGTTAGCATGTTGTGATTACACAGACTTGCATTATAATAAAAATAATACCACCTCATGTTTATTATGTTTTAATAATCTCAAAGCACTGTCATGTCTACCCAGAATGGTACAGTACCTCATGAAGTTGATATTAGACATTTTTATTACCCTTTCATAGGAGAAAAACATTTTTTAAAGGCACAGAAAGGTTAAGCGATGTTTTTGTCCAAGGTCATACATCAAAGAAGTCTGAGGTGTTAGCTTCAGCTCAATGAGAAGTGCAAAGTTTATCCCCCAAAAATCCTTAAACCTCCAAGTTTCAATGTTTTCTACTTATTAAAATATAAAGAATACACTAGCTTACCACCAGGATATGTGAGAATTAAACAACATGATAATGTAACCAAAATAGTGCTAGAAAAGGTTGGTGACACTGAAAGGGCAAAGTAGAAGGGGGGGGGGGCAGGTGAACATATTAACATTTTGGAAAGGCTATCAGTCAGCTCACTCAGGGTTCTTTCCTAGGATAGCCAGCTGCCTTGTAGTAAATTTTCCAATTTTTTTATTTATTCTCTGCAGAATTTGCAAATGCTGTTTCTATTACTAACTACCACCACACATTATGCTTAGACCTTGCTCAAGCTGTTGTGTCTATGAATCATTTTCCTGAAGAAGCAAAGCAGCTGCAAACATTACATGAAGGCAGTTTTGCAAATTAAGGTAATTTTCTGAACAATCTTGCCAAGTTGCACTTAAATAGGTGGTTCATGGAAGAGACTATCATCATGCTTTCTTCTAGCATGTTCCAACTCACAGTATTATGGGCTAACCTTTAACAAACTTGCAATGAATACCTACCTAGTGTGAGCTACTGTGTGCTATCTTTACATCTAAAGATATAGAAGAGTTGGGATTCATATCAAAAAGCTTGTAAATGAAATGAGAAACCACAAAGAGTGAAAAATACAATGAACTAATTAAATAACAATAATTGTTATTTATAATGATGCTGCATATAATTTAAGCATAATTAATTATTAAATTTGGACTATGAGCAACAAGTACATTTGAATTTAAGGAGGGAGAATTCTTGGGGCTGAAGAAAACTAACAGGTTATAGAGGAGTATGTCTCAGCATGTAAAGATGAGTAGAATTCAGACAGCTCAAGGACTGATTTAATAGGATAAAATTACAAAGTGTTTCTAAGTGTTTGCTAATAAATAGATGCATCAGAAACATGCTTTTAAAGTAAAACACAGAATGCCTTCCATTCTGGAGTGTTAAACTGCAATTGAGATTGTGGTGAGAATTAAACCTGACAGTTTATCACAAAATAAGCATTTCATGAAATCAGTAAGTGGTGTGAATGCATACACACCAAAAAATGCTAATGTATTTTGTTAACCAACCTACCTTTTAGCCTTAAACTAAGAATGTGGAATCATGTCTTTTGGAGGATATTATAGAAACAAGACCAAAACATCAGCAAAGAACACTCCACTCTCAAGACACAGTTCAGCATCTCCCAATAAATGAAGCAGGTCATTGTTTGACTTTGTTGTCTTTGCCACCCTAGCCAAGAAAGATGGAACTCAGACTCTAAAAGAAATGTAGCCAATATTCAATTACTGAATCTGATGATACAGAAAAAGGAAAGCATGGATTTATGGATTTGGGAAACTTCTGACAAACCTTCAAGAACTTTTTCCTAAATTAACCATCTTTAGAGAGATTTCAATTGTATCTCCTTCCCTTTTCTTACCTCCCCTCAACCTGGGGTACTCTTATTAAACACTGATACAGACAAAAGTGAAAGAAGAACAACAGACATTGATTATCCAAACCAATATTCCACTAAATAAAGCATGAGTTAACTCTTCTAAAAATTTACTTTAATTTTTTTTTATTTTAAAGAAGAACCAAATGAGAGAAGCCAAAGAAGAGAAATTACATCTGATACCATGGTGAACGGTGAGACAAACTAAGTGATTACACAGCAACCCTGAAGGAGTCTATAGCAATACACTTACTAGGGCAAAGCATCTTTGGACAATTACATTAAATGGCTTCTATACATTTACCTTCGGTAATTAAACTTTTCTGAATATTAAACTGACAAAGATAACAAAAGAGACCAAGTCACAAGCCTTTGATGCACTTTCTGTATGAAAATGAGTAAAGCATTAAAGTATCACCACAGGTGTATTCTTTAGCTTTCTTATATTTTCTGAAAGGCAAGTAAGAATACAACGATGACAACAGTAACCATGGAAGCAGTTTCTTTCTGCTGCCTTCCTGAATAGTAATATTTAATTTGATGCATTAGTCTAGTAGCTGAGGTGTGATTCACCTTGTTTGTTCTCCTTATCAATTCCTACATTACTAAACTGCACAACTCCAAGGACGGCTTTTCTCTGCTAACACTTTTGTCATAAAGCAAGAACATATTCTGTCTTCCTAGCCATAATGATTGAACACCCACTAGATAATTTAAATAAAAGAAGAGAGTAGGGTTTAAGTTTTGGAAAGCAAAAGACATCAAGCTCCCTGCTTAATGACTGTGACTCACTACCCAACATTTTTTTAACTTGATTATATAATGTTAATAGTATCCCAAAAGAAAAAAGCTACTTTATGACAGCACTCCATGAGGACCTGGTCTGCTACTCTTGTCCTAAGAATGTTGGCTACAACATCCCAATGGACTCATTTCAATTTAAATATTTCACCAGGGCAAAAGAAAGTTCTTTAAGTTGAGTTTTTATGATGACCACATATTGATTAGTTAAGAATGAAAGAGTCTGAAATATAAAATAAGAATTATGGTCCAGTAATTATACAGTTCACTTAAGCATTGTTACATTTAGGCAACCATAAATGATAAAGAGTAGATTCAAATATTAGTTTTCAGTTTTCTCTAAGAAAACACTGAAAATGTATCTAAGGGAGGATGAGCAGACCTGACCAGGATGGACCTCTCTTTTCTTGAAATACCTTGATTCTACTGATCCTCACTGGTGAGTCACACCACTTCTGTCTTCTTCACTCCTATCCAGTGATTTTCTATACCAGAGCTATTATTTCTATTTGCAGGAATCTTTCAAGCTCTGCTTATATAATTGCTCAAAGTTCATTCTAAACAGAAGCCTGGATGACACTGATATTCCCATGAGGTCTTCACTTTCCTTGACCACCCTCTGCAAGATGCACATTAAAAGTTGTGCAATACTGGGATGGAGCCTCCTTTTGTCCACAGGGACCCACAGCTATGGATTCAAAAGAGTTTTATGTTCTCTCCTCCTTAGCTATGTCTGGCTCTGTTCTTTGCTTTTAATCCTGACCTTATCTATGATCATGATGGATTGCACTCTGTCCTTTTGCATGGAAAAAGTAACTTTCAAACTAGAGATCATGCCAAAAATAGATTTCTCCATCTTACAAAAATGCAGGTGGCATTAGACTTTCTAAATAACAATATTGAGGCTTGTTTCTGGCCACAGAGGCTCAAATTGTCCTATTTCACAATTTTACTTAAAATACATATCAGGTTCAGCACATATACTTTACCCGAAGTTAAGTATGGAAAAGTTAATATCCATGTGATCTCATGACTGATATTTACCCAATTCTTAAAATTAATATGTAGAATATTGACCCTCATACTGAATGTTTTACCTATTTTAATAAGCAAATGATAGCACTCAATGTCCATGTAATGTTTGAGATTTAGTAAAACATCTGAATTTTCAAATGAGAACTCAGAAAATATCTTAAAGATGTGCAGTAATGAAAAATAGTACTGTGGAATATATTGATTTCCTCACATTATATACTGTCTCATTGGCTTTTATATCAAAAATGAAATAATTTACTCATTCAATAAGTAATTATTTGTTCCTACCACATTTCAAGCAGAAGCCCTGGGCTCTTGGAATTCACATTTCAGTATGGATGCTGTTTATCTACAAATAAATAAATTTAAAGCAAGTTAGACAGTAAGAAGTGTTAGAGGTAAAAAAAAATGGAAGCAGATAGAGGCAAAGGGTGTTAGAGAGTGTGTGGTACAGAAAGGTGACCATTTTAAATAGGATAGTCAGAGGACTCCTTGAGAAGTGGTATTTGAGCAAAGACTGGGAAGTGAAGGAGCAAGTCACGTGGTAGCCTGGGGAAAGAGAATTCCAGGAAGAGGGAACAACTAGTCACAAAAGCCCTGAGGCAAAGGCATACCTGATATTCCAAAGAACAGAAATAAAGTCAGTTTGAGTCACGTGGAACAAGTCAAGCACAGAGTCATAAGCACTAAAGATGGAGAAATAATAAAGGGCCAGTTGTGCAGGGCCTTGTGAGAACTTTGTCTTGCACTCTAAATGAAACAGGAAGTTGCTAAGGAGTGACAATGCTCAAGTCTCCATTTTTTTTTCAATGTTCACTCAAGGCTATGATGTTGACAATGAACTGAAGGGAAAAGGCGGCAAGGAAGAAAATACAGGGTTCAGACTGGAGGTCATTGCAATAATCCAGGCAGAAGGTGACAATGGGTTAGAGTTGGGAGTTGATAATGGTCAGATTCTGAACAGACAATGAACGTAATCAATGGAAATTGCTTACAGATTTGATAGGAGTTATGAATGAAAGAAAAGAAACACAGAAAACTACAATGTTTGGTCTGACTAAACAAAAGGAGCAAGCAACTTACTGAGCTAGGGAAGACTATAGGAAGAAGGGGTGGTGGTGGGAATTCAGCACTCTGTTTGAGACCTTCTACATTGATATGTACATTAGATATCCAAGTGGAGATTTAAAGTAGGCAGTTAGATATAAGGCATATGTCCTTGATATTAAAGAAGATAAATCCTTTTATTAATGTTTACTGAGGGATTAAGTAAATTAAGAAGTAATGAAAAAGTATGTAAATAATTAGGCAAATGCTTAAGTTAATAAATGGATGAAAATTGGTGATACAAAACATTCCAATAAAAGAATGTGGGAGGAGAGTAAATTCAGCAGAAAACTTATTGTCTTCTATAGCTAGGGTTTAAATGAGAAAGGTAAGATTAAGCGGAAGAAAATTACCAAAGTCAGTATAAACCAACCCATTCACTGGCTTTTAGAGGTTCTGGAGGTTGAACTCAGGGTTTCATGTTTGCTAGGCAAGCACTCTACCATTTGAACCACTCCACTAGCCCCTTCATTGGGTTTTAAAATCAACATTTTCAATTAAAACAGTTAAGTATCACTATGGAATCCATTAGCCAGTACACACTACAAAAATCCAAAACAACTTCAACTCCAAAAGTATCATTTACATACATCTTGTACATATATGTTAAAATCATACTAGCATGATCAACAAATGTTGGCTCTCTAACAAATCACAAATCATCTACATAATATATATATATGTATATATATGTACATATATGTATATATACGTACATGTACATAATATTCCTAAGCACAATACAATGTTTACCTTTAATTTTCTGAAAGTTCATATTTTAAAGTTATGTTATCTTTACTGCTTTTAATATTTCAAGCCTGTCACTGATTTTAGGCATACATTGACATGGATTGCATTTTGGGAGTCTCTAAAGGTGTACACTTACTGATTTTAATTTACTATCTGTATCTCCAGTCTCAGGGGCCTAACCTTAAGTTTCAGACATTAGGGTGTATTCCATACCCTATTCCACATCCTATTCCACACCCTACCAAATAATGTAGGCTTCTCAGTCTCTTACTAATTTAGTCATCAAAGCTCACGATGTAAAATCTAGGAAGGAAAAGCATCCACAGCATTTATACAAACTTCTCTATTCTGACATCTGCTTCCTGAGCTGCTCCATAAGTCAGCAAATAACAGGAAGACTTTTCTTAAATGTTTTTTTAACCAAAATGCTTCAAAATACTTAAATAGTGCCAAAAAATAAGAAATAAAGCAATTTTAATAACTTTGTCATTTCAATTATAATTATTTCAGATGATTTTTTAATTGCCTGAGATAAGCAAATAATTTCATCAGGGCAATATTTAGTCAGTATAGATTAGAGAGGATATGCTATTATTAATATCTGATACATAGTCTAAAATACAAACTACTTAGAGAACATTAATTTTTTTCCAAAAATAGACCTTATAATAAATCTAACACTTTTATCTTAGCCAGAAAAAAATGCCATTTAAATGAAGACTTCTAGCAAACTCTTTTCTTTCTACCTTCTATTCCAATGAAATTCCTCAGTTTCCGACAAAGTAAAAATTACAGAATCTGCAAGAATGTTCTAGTAGTTGTGTAAGGCAGCAAAAGATGAAGTATGCAAATAGATGCCATAGAGGGAAACAGTGTTAAGTGGCAAAAAGATAACAGTTCCATTTTCCTAACTTACAGTTTTACATGTTCTCTTGCAGGGTTTCTCACCCTTAGCACTACCGACACTTTAGGCCAGTTGCTTCTTTGATGAGCTGGAAGGAGGCGTGTCCTCTGTACTGTGCTATGTTTGGCAGCATCCCTGGCCTCTACCCAAAAGATGCCAATAGCAATAGCATCCCACCCCAGTTGTGACACCCAAAAATATCTCCAGACATTGCCAAAAGTCCTATAGGGGCCAAAACTTAGCCCGGTTAAGAACCTCAGCTCTATATATACAGAACCATATGAATTTACATTCCTTAATCTTGTATTCAAAGATCATGGAAACAAAAAAGCCCTTGAAAGAAAACAGCAGGAAGCAACTGACACAAACAGTAAAAGGAAGTTTGGCTCTTTGCACAGTTAGATGTAATCCACTCAAGAAGCAGATTTCTTTTCATTTATAACCACAGAGATTTTCCCAAATTAAACTACAGGTTTTAATCTGTCAAATGAGCTCAGACATAGCCTTCAAAAAATAATTTAGAAAGAAAGTATGCAAGTAACTACACAGCCCCAAAATTTAGTCTTTTAAAAGGATGCTTAATATTACTTTCTTTCATCCCAAAGTGGCAACTTCTCATTATCTTTCAAAATGTCATTTGATGACTCAAAAGAAAACAACTGTAATTTAAACAGCAAGAAATGAGAGGGAATAAGTCAGTGCATGGCCTGTGTTTGGACGTTACTAAGCTGTCTTTCCATGACTCATGCCATATCCTCTTTGCCATGTAAGGTACCATAATCACACAGGTGAACCCCCCACCGAGGTCTCTAAATGCCATCTGCCTGCTCATGGCTCCCACATGTCCATTCCATCCCAACCTGTGCCTGCCACCAGGGCCAAGGACCACATATGCACAGAACTGTCGACCATCCTCCAAAACTGAACAGACTGAGTTCCCATGTTGGGTACAACAGCACTGTCCCCAGGGAGAATTTGCCTGCCAGTCCATTCTTGATTCCTGGGTTAGTTTGTAATTGCTGCTCTATGCAATTTCCATAACTAAGGCTACACACAACACAAATGGTTACTTCATACTTCCAGAGGTCAAAGACCAAAACTGAAGTCTCGAGTCTAAAGCAAAGGTGTTGGCAAGGCTAGATGGAGGCTGCAGGGAAGAATCTGTCTCCTTGTTTTCTCCAGCGTTCAAAGGCTGCTCCCCCACAGCCCGTACTCCTGAGCTGGTGGCCCCGCTCACACGCATCTGCTTCCACAGCCACATCTCTTTTGACTCTGAGTCTTACAAGGGGTCCTGTGATTATACGGGGCACTCACTCCTATCCCAAGATCCTCAATCTAATCACATCCACCAAAACTTTTTGCCATGAAAGATACCATAATCATAGGTTCCGGGAATACAGATGTGGACTTCTTTGAGGGAGGAAAACATTCTTCTCTCTACCACAACTTCTCTCCTTTTCCAGCTCACCCTTCCTACCCAAGCACCAGTAAACTGAAGGCTCTACCTTTAAAATATATTCCAAATCTACCTAATTCCCTGAAGCCCCTCTACTACTAACCCAGTGTAGTCTACACCCTGAACAATTGTGAGCTCCTCCTAATCAGTCTCCCTGCAGCAACTTTTGCCCCTTCACACTCCATCTTCCACAGGGCTGTCAAAAATGATCTTTCTAAAATTTGAAGCATGCTGATGTTATTTCCCTCTTTAAAATCCATCAGAGATCTCCTTATGCAATTAGAACAAAATCCTAATAGGAAGCCCATTATCTGACCCCTTGTTACCTTAAAAAAAAAAAAAGGCAAGACATATGCAAATTTTTTCCTCCATAAAATGTCTTTCCATTCCTCACCATTAACTTTCCAAAGCCTTGTACACTGAGGAAGAGGAAGAATGTGTTCATAGAGGAGGACAAACCATTGTAGAGGGGGAACATTCCAGCTGCTCTTTCTAGGTCTCCAAGTTCACCTCCATCCCCAGACTAGAAGACAATACCTTACCACATAATTCTAACACTAAATCACAGCCCCCTCTAACACCATTTTAACTGCAAAATGCCTGCTAAGACCAAACAAAATCTAAAATATGTAAGAAGTTAAAAAAAACAGAAGGTAGGGAAAGAAAGGAAGGCAAACACCACAGTGTGATATATTCACCTTTCGCAGATACAGACAAAAGACAGTATCTTACGTTGATGGTTATCTAAAAATAGGGCAGAGATAAATTATTAAATGTTACAAGAAGTAAAAACAGGAATTCAACAGCCTTTGAAGAATATTAAGAGAGACTTGCTGTACATGCTGGACCCTTATGAAGTCTGAATTCTTAGACCATGTAGATATGTATAGCTAATTTACACATGTGTACACTAATTTTCATGTGCAAGTGTGCATCTTTACACAAACTGGTCATCAGTTTTTCACCTGTTGTAACATCCATTCACCCTGGTGTCCTAACATTGCTCTTTGGAATTCCCTCACCAGAAACTGTCTTGCCAAGGACTTGGTGATAAATAAACAGCAGAATGTGATCCAACCAGCAGTCTTTCTATTGAAAACTGTTCCTTAGCCTCTCCTCTGCTTGTATTTTTTTTTTAATTCTTTCTCCTTAAAATCACCTCACATCGACCACTCTTGGAGGGCTATTCTTTTCTTTTCAAATAATAAGTACCCACACTTTATAATTTCTATGCTTCAATTAACATGCCCAATGTCAGTAGGAAGCTACTCCAAACACAGCCATCGCTGGAAATAATGAAGGATCCCTAATCAATAACCCTTACCCATATTTCATCTCTTCTGCTGAACACCCAATCACCTCTTTTTGGAGGATATTTCACAGAATTTTAGGGCCATGAGAGCTTGTAGAGAATAAACTCACTCTCTCGAAAGAATTCCATCTGTGTTATAAGCATGTCTAAGTTATCTGAGACCTAACAATTCAAATTGCTGGATTTGTAGAGATCTACATACTGAAAACCTTTCAACAACCACCCCAGGTGGTCCCCAAACACACTAAAGTTTGAGACACCCAAATCTAATCCAATCTTCTTACTTTTAAAATGAGTAAATTTAAATCCAGAGAAGTAACTTGCCCAAAATTGGCTACAATTTGCACTGTCAATTAATTATTCTAATCCATCTGATCTCTTTTAAAGAAATCTGAGATAAAACATGCAAAAAAATTAATAAAAGGAAACTATCACAACATAATAAAGGCCATATATCAAAAATTCATAGCTAACATCATACTGAATGGTGAAAGACTCAGGAAGAAAACAAAGATGCTTGCTTTTGCCAATTCTATTCAACATAGCAGTAGAAGTCTGAGCCAGAGAAATTAAGCAAGAAAAATAAATATAGACATCCAAATTGGAAAGAAAAGATGCAAAATTATAACTAATAGAGCAGATAAAATCACAGATGACATGATAATATATGTAGAAAACCATTACAGCACAAAACAATCTAGGACAAATAAATGAATTCAGTGAAGTTACAAGATACAAAATTAACAGTCAAAAAAACTAGTTTGAAGGACTGGATGTAGCTCAGCAGTGGAGTGCTTGGTTAGAATGTGTGAGACCCTGGTTCGATTCCTGACACAGAAAAAAAAAAGTCTGATTTCTATACACTAAAAATGAATAATCTGAAAATGAAATTAAGAAAATAATCCCATGTTCATTAGCATCAAAAAAATAAAATAAAATAAAGTGAAAAGGAATCAGGAATTCATGGGTTTAAAAACTCAACATGAAGGGGAAATTAAAAGACTTAATATGATTAAAATGCAAATACCACTCAAAACAATCTACAAATTCAGTCCAACCCCTATCAAAATCCTACTGACATTTTTTGTAGAAATAGAAAAACCCACCCTAAACATTCTTAATGGAATCTCAAAGGACCAAACAACTAAACACATCTTGAAAAAAGAAGAAAAGAGGCTGGGGTGTAACTCTGTGGTAGAGTGCATGCTTAGCATGTATTTGTCTCTAGGTTCAATCAGAAAAGAAAAAGGAGAAAGAAGAAAAAAGAAAAGAAAAAAGAGAGGCATGAAGGAGACATGGATGGAAGGAAAAGATGGAGGGAAGAGTAAGGAGGAAGCTAGGAAGAGAGAGAAAGAAGGAAGAAAATGAAAAAAGAAAAGGAAAAGGAAAAAGGTAACAAAGTTAAAAGTCTCACACTTCCTGACTTCAAAAGTCACTATAAAGCTATGGTAATCAAAACAACATAGGACTGACATAAACCAAGGGCACAGAGTAGAAATCCTTGCACACATAATTAGAAGATCCTCAACGAGGATGCCTATGCTGTTCACAGAAGAAAGGACAGAATTTTCAAGAAATGTGCTGGGGAAACTGGATATAACATGAAAAAAAATAAGCCACACACAAAAGGTAACTCTTAAACCACACACAAAAGGTAACTCAAAATGGATCAAAGGTCTAAAACTAAGACCTGAAACAACAAAACTCTTCTTAACAGAAAACAGGAGAAAGCTTCATAACACAGAATTTGGCAGTGATTTCTTGTGTGATACCAAAAGCAGAGGAAACAAAAGAAAAAGCAGATAAATCAGACATCATCAAAATTAAAAGTTTTTGTGCATCAAAGAACACTATCAACAGAACAAAATATTAACAGGAGAAAATATTTTCAAGCCATACATCTGATAAGGGATTGATATAAATTTAAAGAATTCCTACAACTCAACAATAACAAAAGAAAAAATGGGCAAAGGATCGAATAGACATTTCTCCAAAGAAATATAAATATGACCAACAAGCACACAAAAAGATGTTCAAAATCACTAATTATCAGGGAAACGCAAATCAAAACCACAGCAATCTACCACTTCACGATTGGGACGATCAATATAAAAAAGCTGAAAATATCAAGTGTCAGCAAGGATGTGGAACCCTTGTGCATTAGGGGTGGAAATGTAAAATGGGGCCACTGCTGTGGAAAATGATTATATTTTTGAGTGATTACTCAAAAAAAAATAGGATTATTATAAATCCAGCAATTCTACTTCTGGGTTCAAACTCAAGAGACTGAAAGCAGGGACAAAAGCAGAGTTCATGTGGTAAATCCATGTTTACCACAGCACTGTTCACAATAGCCAAAAGGTAAAAGCAACCCAAGTGTCCATCAACAGATGAATGGACAGACAAGATGTGGCACAGGTGTGCCATGGGGTATTCAGCTTTAAAAAGGGAAAGCAATTCTGATATAAATTACAACATGAGTGAACTGTGAAGACATGATAAGTGAAATAAGCCAGTCAACACTGAAATATCATTTACCTGGAAAACACGATGTTATAAAACTCACCCCAAGTATGCCAAACTATTTAGCATTCTCCAGTCAAGCATTATTTCCAGTTTGGTAATCATCTGGCACCATATTTTTTTAGTTATAAAGATTGTATTCTGTACAAAAAAAAATGATATTTAAGAAGAGATCATGCGCTTTATAAACATCATAGTAAATAAAAAGAAAGCAGCCAGTCATGAAAGGAAAAATACCGTGTGATTCCACTTATATGAGATACCAAGAATGGTCAACTCACAGAGATAGGAAATAGAATGCTGCTTGCCAGGGGGCTGTAGAGGAAAGGCGAATGGGGAATAAGTGTTCAACTGCACAGATGCACAGTTCTGGAGATGGATGGTGTGAAGGTTTTACAGCAGTATGAAGGTACCCAGGAACTCAGAAATGAACATGTACAAGGTTAATGTGGTAAATTTAATGTAACCAGATTACAACAGAGGTTTTTACTCATCACAAAAACTAATCTATTCATCCTTCTTTCTCCCAAGCATTATTCTCATCTGTTTTGTTCTCCTCATCAAATGTCAGCTTCCAGCACATCTTTAAGCACTCCTTATGAGAAGTTCTTTTCAGACTCTCAGTTTTTACTGCCTTTCTGTGATCATTCTCTGTCCAGGAAGCCAAAATTTGCAGTCCAATCATTTCCTTTTGCTCTGACATAAAGCCCTACTTCCCCCAAATTCTATGCTGACTCCTGTCACCACTGGGAAGCTTCTAGTCTCTGGCCTCAAGCAAGTCCCCAGCTACCAAGAAGAAAACACTCCTTTCCATAGAATAAAAACTGTAATCATCACTCCTACCTCTAAATTCCTTCCTTTAGTCTATAGTTGGCCAAACTCAGAAGCATCAACTCTATTCCTCTGGTAAGAAACTATAATATTTGGACAAACCATTGACACCTCAAAAGATATCCCTGAACATGTTGTA